TGGAACTGCTAATTGTTATAACTACGGTGGAACTGCTAATTGTTATAACTACGGTGGAACTGCTAATTGTTATAACTACGGTGGAACTGCTAATTGTTATAACTACGGTGGAACTGCTAATTGTTATAACTACGGTGGAACTGCTAATTGTTATAACTACGGTGGAACTGCTAATTGTTATAACTACGGTGGAACTGCTAATTGTTATAACTACGGTGGAACTGCTAATTGTTATAACTACGGTGGAACTGCTAATTGTTATAACTACGGTGGAACTGCTAATTGTTATAACTACGGTGGAACTGCTAATTGTTATAACTACGGTGGAACTGCTAATTGTTATAACTACGGTGGAACTGCTAATTGTTATAACTACGGTGGAACTGCTAATTGTTATAACTACGGTGGAACTGCTGTAGTACATAGTACATGCACCCGGGAAAGACGTTCACTTTCTCACTACAGGCACTTTCAATGCATGCAATGTCCTCCAGACTTGCTCACTACAGGCACTTTCAATGCATGCAATGTCCTCCAGACTTGCTCACTACAGGCACTTTCAATGCATGCAATGTCCTCCAGACTTGCTCACTACAGGCACTTTCAAGGCATGCAATGTCCTCCAGACTTGCTCACTACAGGCACTTTCAAGGCATGCAATGTCCTCCAGACTTGCTCACTACAGGCACTTTCAAGGCATGCAATGTCCTCCAGACTTGCTCACTACAGGCACTTTCAAGGCATGCAATGTCCTCCAGACTTGCTCACTACAGGCACTTTCAATGCATGCAATGTCCTCCAGACTTGCTCACTACAGGCACTTTCAAGGCATGCAATGTCCTCCAGACTTGCTCACTACAGGCACTTGCATGCAATGCATGCAATGTCCTCCAGACTTGCTCACTACAGGCACTTTCAAGGCATGCAATGTCCTCCAGACTTGCTCACTACAGGCACTTTCAATGCATGCAATGTCCTCCAGACTTGCTCACTACAGGCACTTTCAAGGCATGCAATGTCCTCCAGACTTGCTCACTACAGGCACTTTCAATGCATGCAATGTCCTCCAGACTTGCTCACTACAGGCACTTTCAAGGCATGCAATGTCCTCCAGACTTGCTCACTACAGGCACTTTCAAGGCATGCAATGTCCTCCAGACTTGCTCACTACAGGCACTTTCAAGGCATGCAATGTCCTCCAGACTTGCTCACTACAGGCACTTTCAAGGCATGCAATGTCCTCCAGACTTGCTCACTACAGGCACTTTCAATGCATGCAATGTCCTCCAGACTTGCTCACTACAGGCACTTTCAAGGCATGCAATGTCCTCCAGACTTGCTCACTACAGGCACTTTCAAGGCATGCAATGTCCTCCAGACTTGCTCACTACAGGCACTTGCATGCAATGCATGCAATGTCCTCCAGACTTGCTCACTACAGGCACTTTCAATGCATGCAATGTCCTCCAGACTTGCTCACTACAGGCACTTTCAAGGCATGCAATGTCCTCCAGACTTGCTCACTACAGGCACTTGCATGCAATGCATGCAATGTCCTCCAGACTTGCTCACTACAGGCACTTTCAAGGCATGCAATGTCCTCCAGACTTGCTCACTACAGGCACTTTCAAGGCATGCAATGTCCTCCAGACTTGCTCACTACAGGCACTTTCAAGGCATGCAATGTCCTCCAGACTTGCTCACTACAGGCACTTGCATGCAATGCATGCAATGTCCTCCAGACTTGCTCACTACAGGCACTTTCAAGGCATGCAATGTCCTCCAGACTTGCTCACTACAGGCACTTTCAATGCATGCAATGTCCTCCAGACTTGCTCACTACAGGCACTTTCAAGGCATGCAATGTCCTCCAGACTTGCTCACTACAGGCACTTTCAAGGCATGCAATGTCCTCCAGACTTGCTCACTACAGGCACTTTCAATGCATGCAATGTCCTCCAGACTTGCTCACTACAGGCACTTTCAAGGCATGCAATGTCCTCCAGACTTGCTCACTACAGGCACTTTCAAGGCATGCAATGTCCTCCAGACTTGCTCACTACAGGCACTTTCAAGGCATGCAATGTCCTCCAGACTTGCTCACTACAGGCACTTTCAAGGCATGCAATGTCCTCCAGACTTGCTCACTACAGGCACTTTCAAGGCATGCAATGTCCTCCAGACTTGCTCACTACAGGCACTTTCAAGGCATGCAATGTCCTCCAGACTTGCTCACTACAGGCACTTTCAAGGCATGCAATGTCCTCCAGACTTGCTCACTACAGGCACTTTCAATGCATGCAATGTCCTCCAGACTTGCTCACTACAGGCACTTTCAAGGCATGCAATGTCCTCCAGACTTGCTCACTACAGGCACTTTCAAGGCATGCAATGTCCTCCAGACTTGCTCACTACAGGCACTTTCAAGGCATGCAATGTCCTCCAGACTTGCTCACTACAGGCACTTTCAAGGCATGCAATGTCCTCCAGACTTGCTCACTACAGGCACTTTCAAGGCATGCAATGTCCTCCAGACTTGCTCACTACAGGCACTTTCAAGGCATGCAATGTCCTCCAGACTTGCTCACTACAGGCACTTTCAAGGCATGCAATGTCCTCCAGACTTGCTCACTACAGGCACTTTCAAGGCATGCAATGTCCTCCAGACTTGCTCACTACAGGCACTTTCAAGGCATGCAATGTCCTCCAGAAGCGCACATACAAATGCATTTGGACTGCGCCAGGGAGTCGTACCCACAATGGTTTGGGTACGAATTCCTGGACTGCACATACTCTGCTAGGACACTAAGGGGCTGTCTGCAGTTAACGATTGCTTTTTGGTTGGTTGTTTTTTTCAAAATGAAACGGTTAAGTAATTTTCAGACCCACCCACTCACCTTTTTCTGCCGGAAAAAGGAATTCTAGCACATGTACATGATGTGTGTGTATGTGTGCTTGCATGCGTGTGTGTGTGTGTGTATGTGTGTGTATGTGTGCTTGCATGCGTGTGTGTGTGTATGTGTACGACCAGGTCTAGGAGATCACCGTCAAGGTCTCGGTCCCGTTCTCGCTCACCCAGAAGACGACGGCGGTCCTTGTCATCATCATCGTACTCATCACGCTCCTCTAGATCATCATCACGCTCCAGAAGCCGCTCACGATCACCTCGCCGTCGTAGATACTCCAGATCTCGATCTCGCTCCTATTCCCCACGTCGTCGCAGGTCTAGGTAAGATATACAGCAATGTGTATGTGTACTGCAAAGTGCCCACCCAATGTACAGTACTATGTCTACATGTATGCTCGTGTGTGTGTTGTGCATGTGTGCTGCAAAGTACCCACCTAATGTTCTACTACCTGTATGCTTGTGTGTGTGTTGTGCATGTGTGCTGCAAAGTACCCACCTAATGTACTACTACCTGTATGCTCGTGTGTGTGTTGTGCATGTGTGCTGCAAAGTACCCATCCAATGTACTACTACCTGTATGCTTGTGTGTGTGTTGTGCTCTGTACCAGCTCTACCCCTTCTCCAGCTGAATAGAGAAGTTCTGCTGTGAAAGTGATTCTCTTATTCCAATGGGATTTCTTTCCGCTTGTTTGTGTTCTTTGTGTTGCCAGATCACCACGCTCTCCTGTGCGTCGCAGTAGTGGCAGTGGTGGTGGTGTTGGCCGCGATCGACAACGCTCCCCGTCCCCTAGGGAAAGACCTGGGTTTGACCGAGTAGGGTTGGGTGTTGGTCATGATCAACAACGCTCTTTGTCACCGAGGGAAAGGCCTGGATTTGACCGAGTCGGAGGAGGAGCAGGATTGGGTGTTGGTTTTGATCGACAACGCTCTCCATCGCCCAGGGATAGACCTGGGGATAGACCTGGGTTTGACCGAGGAGGTTTAGCCGCACCAGATCGTCATGACAGGGCCTTCTCGGATCGTAGTCCTGTGGATCGTGATCGTGATGGCGTTGCTGATAGAGCTGGAGACTGGGAGAGAGACAGAGATAGAGACCGGGATCGTGACCGGGATCGTGACAGGGATCGTGACAGGGACAGGGACAGAGACCGAGATCGCGACAGAGATCGTGACAGGGATCGCGATCGTGACAGAGGAGGTAGAGACCGAGGCAGAGACAGAGACCGTGATCGAGACAGGGAGCGTTATGCTGACACCAGAGGTGGTGTGGACCGACCGCCATACTCCGATCCGTCTTTAGTGGATCATCGACCAATTGATCATCATGCAGCTAGTGATCTTGGCTGTGCTCCTGCCGCGCCTGCCGCTGCTACTGCTGCGGATATCTTGTAAGTTTCAAGCTCCATGTATGTGTTTTAAGTAGCAACTTGTCCTCGTGATTCTTCGTCTGCCTACTAGTATCTATTACATAGGTGCATGTCAGTGATCCGGTACCCTCAGGACCGCTGACACTGACACGGTGGGGATAAATGAATATCCTGGAAAACTCAAGCTACACAGCTGTCTTGTAATGCATGAGTCTACAATTGCACCTGAGCATTCATCATGCTCACATCATATCCTAGTACATGCACAGTTCTGGCCCGCAGAGAAATCCAACCTCATGAATAATGTGCTAGCAGTGTTCCAGTGCACAGCACAGTGTGCATAGCGCAGTGTTCCAGTGCACAGCACAGTGTGCATAGCGCAGTGTTCCAGTGCACAGCACAGTGTGCATAGCGCAGTGTTCCAGTGCACAGCGCAGTGTTTCAGTGCACAGCACAGTGTTCCAGTGCCCAGCACAGTGTGCATAGCGCTCGGCGCTATTTTTATTCATGAGGTTGGGTTTCTTTGACCAGTAGTCAGTACTGTACGTGTCTGCATAGACTGATGTGCCGGTACCGTTGCATAAAGGCAGCATTTCTTGATGCTCACTCTCAACATTCACTTGAAGGTATTGTAAGTACGCAGTGTATGAGCCGTGGGTTCACTGTCGCATAAGCAAACATGTCGGATGACTGACGGCTGGATAAGCAGACATGCAGCTGTAGTGCCATTGCTATCCCTTTTTTGAATTTCTAAAACTATTATATGACACATTATGCAAAGGCGATGACTGCTGACAGAAAGTGTTCTCCTTGTTTTCTTCTTTTCTATTTCCAAGTGCCGCGGCCAGTGTGCCACGGGATCCCAACGAGAGACTGGGAGGAGATAACATTGGTCATCGCATGATGCAGCGAATGGGTTAGTTGTTATTATCATGCTCAGGGTTCTAGCCAGGTCAAAATAGTAGGGGGGGGGGGGGGGGGGGGCATGGGAAAAAGTTACCCCATATCCCATTTTTCCACTTTCCAATAATTGTCTTGCCACGCCAAATGCAACGTATGGGGCGAATCCCTGACTTCACCCCAAGACAAATGTGCCTTTATGAACCATCTATGCATGAAAAACACGAAAATCGGAAAATGAGTAGGGGGGCGGCAATTTTTCACAGGGGGGCGCGCAAACAGAGTAGGGGGGGGGGGCGCTGCCCCCCCCCCCCCCCCCCCCCACCCCCCTTTGGCTAGAACCCTGCTGCTGTATGACATCATTGTGCTTCATGATAGCTGCATAGTCGGCCGTTCTGCTGCTGCTGGTCTTGGGAGGGGGTTCAGTCTGTCAGCTGACTCCTGTATTTCTTTGCATGTGTGTGTGAGTGCAGTGTACATGTGGTGCACCATAGATATGATTTCCCTGTGCACGCAGTACTCGATACCACAATGGACGGAGTGCTGTTTAGGTTTTGCCTGAGAATTGTATAGCGTCAAACTCAAGTTGCAAGCAAAGTTTCGTTCTGCCTTCTTTGTTAATGTAGTTCTGGGTGTATGAAGGCACGGTGTTCTCGTTGCATTCCGTTGTTTTTCCTGACTATTCCCTGATTGATGCAGTGGAATGCCTCAGTACAAGTAACATCAAGTTGCTTAGCATTGTCCTATTGCTTGTCTCTTTCGCCTAGGTGAATGGGGAGAGTATTGGTCAATGGGTTTAAAAACAAGTTTTAAAGATCTTTGTTTTTCTGCGCATGGATTGTGGTGGGTGTCTAGGTTGGGAAGGTGCTGGTTTGGGCGCTAGTGAACAAGGTATTCAAGAACCAGTTTCTGGTGGTGAAGTACGCGACAAGGCTGACAAGTTCAAGGTATGGCGCTTTTGTTCACTCATTTGTGTGCGTGCATACGTGTGGGTGGGTGTGTGGGGGGGGGGGGGGTGCTGGCGTGCTGGCGTCTCGTGTGTCATCGTCCCCGGCCGGCTGTTCAAAAGCCTAGAATGTTCATTTGCGGCTGTGGCAGGGACTTCAGTCGGCCCAATGATTTGACTCAGCACAAGAGATACTGCAGCTTCTGATGCTATCATTGCACGGAGCAAAGGTCCGAATGTGGTGTGTGTGTGTGTGTGTGTGTGTGTGTGTGTGTGTGTGTGTGTGTGTGTGTGTGTGTGTATGTGTGTGTGTTTGTATCCAGGGTGTTGGTGTCAACATGCATGACCCATTCGATTCGTTCCGACGGCAGAAAAGCTATTCGTACGGTGCAAGTCGCGGTGGATCGCGTGCTGGCTATCAAGGTATGTTAAACGCAACCAGCTTTTAGTTCCAATTGTTTAATTTGCTTAGACTATCACCCCTCTACAGTATCGTACAGTGCACAGTGTCTACATCCACGTAAGGAGTTTTTGGTCGGTTGCCATGATGATCCATGTTACGAGGTGAAAACGGCAGCCAAGGAAACGGGAAATGTAGACGTGGGGGGGGGGGGGTGCAACTGCTGCTCTTGTTCTGCCCTCCGCTAACACCCGATATGGCTTTAGTGCAATTTCTTATTTGGGCGCTGCCAGGCGGAATACACTTCCACCGGCTTGCCGCATGTTTAGTTCACCAGCTGAATTTCGCTCATCCATCAAATTATACCTAGGGTTCCCTGTAAAAAGGCGCTGACGCCTGTTGGGAATTCCCTAGTAAAAGAAGAATAAATAATAATAATATAATAACTAATTTCACCAAAAACTTACCCACGTGCAGTGTACGGGGCAAGGACTGTGCCTGTGTGATGACATCACCACCCATTTTGGAACTTTCACCGTAGACGTGAACGGGAGCCAGTGTAATAATAATAATAGTACAGGTCACATGTCTCCCAAATAATGGGTTCCACGCATCTGTCAACTGTCTCATCATGAAATAGATTGCAGCAGGAAGAATAGCATACGGAAAAAACATATACAGGTTCTAGCACATGACAAGTACATGCCATTTTTTTTACACCGATGTACATTTGTCAATGAAGTCCAGCCATAGCTTTTTGTCCCGTGCAGTGTTGAGGCAATCCTCGAGCGTGTGTCCGAGAGGGGAGATGTCGGATTTCACCACATCAATCCACCGAAGCCTCGGTCGTCCTCGTGGACGCTTGATCTTTGACGTGTTGATGGCCATGGTTAGCGCGCCATAGGAAGCCGTGCCCGGACCTTCCCGAACAACATGGCCGAACCATAGGAGACGTCTTCTCTTGCAGACCCTGCTGATTGGTTGCTGTTTTGATTTTTCATACAGGATTTGGTTGGATATGCAGTGCGGGTAGTGGACTCCGAAGATATAACGGAGCTTTGTTCTCTGCCATACATCTAGCTGTTCATTCTGTCGCTTCGTGAGGGTCCACAGGCCGCAGTTATACAGCAGCACTGGAACAATGAGAACCGAGAACATGCAAAGCCGTGAGTCCAGGCAATGCCGCTTCCATGCTATCGAGCCGAATGCTCGGTTCGCTGCACCGATCCTGGCTGCCACATCCTCCGTGGAGTCCAGCAAGGAACCAAGGAGCTTGACCGTTTTCCACGATGCATCAGTGCGGGAAGCAGTTAAATATACGGTTTTTTGTACGTTAAGGTTGAGGTTGTCTTCTTTGAAGATCGGCTCACATGTGGCTACCATGGTCTCCACAGCACTCCTCGATGATGCGTGCATAGTTGTATCATCTGCGTATTGTGTTGAAGGTGAGGGTACATCTTGAGTTCTTGCAAGGCTACTAACTGCGTCGATCTTCCGCATGGCTCCTTCGGCATACATATTGAACATAGTGGGCGATAGCGGGTCACCTTGCACGACTCCAATGTTCGTGGGGAAGGCCTCTCCAAGCTGGCTGGAAATTTTTACTCTGGCTGTTGTGTTTGAGATCAATGCTGATACAGTCGATGTCTGCGCCCCCGCCACCGTCATCCTGTCCAGCGCTGTACTCCTAACCAGGGTGTCGAATGCACCACTAAAGTCCAGCAGCGCTGCTGAGTATGACCAATCACCAAGCATTGCGCGTTCACACAGCATTCTTGAATAGAACACACCGTCTGCTGTTGAGCGGCCTGGTCTGAATCCTGCTTGAGACTCCCTTACGTAACTGTCTGCTGCTGTCCGCGTTCGACGGTTCAGAATACATGTCAGCACTTTCCTCACCACAGATAATAGCGTGATGGGTCGGTAGCTCTTCGGTATTCCCATCTGCTTGCCAGGCTTGTAAATTGGCACCAACACTCCGCATCCCAAATCGGTTGGGCAATGGCATAGGATCCGCACAGCATTGAAGAGGTTTGCTAACCATGTTCCGATGATGTCCATGGCGGATTTCAGCATCGCTGCACTTATCCCATCACACCCAGCGGCTCCCTTTGTTCGTTGACTGAGAATAGCTGCTTTGACCTCCTCAATTGTGAAGGGGGGTTCAGACACCACTTGTTCGGTTACTAGGTCCGTGGGCAGGTCAGAGTTGTAGAATACTCATGAGAAATACTCCCGGAACTTGTCCAAGTTCCACTGTAGACCAGTTACGATCTCTCCATCCTCATTGGCCAGCTGAATACGATGCGACTTCTTGCCCCCCACGCAGATCACGCAGCTGTCGGATTGCGCTGAAATAGGATCTGGCGTCGGGTCTCCTGGCGTCAACAGCGTTGGCTTTGTCCTGCCAGAACTGGTCTTCTTGGGTCTTTAGGAGAGATCGAATTTTGTGCAGCACCTTATTCCGATTTGATTTCAGTACTTGTCTCTTGTCCTAATTGTTTTCTCTGTTGATTAAAATGTGCAGCTGCTTCTGTTGTTCGGATAGTGTCCGAATGGTAGGATCAGATGTCTTGATCAGTTGTTGTGGGCGACTGCATGTGCCGAATGCCTGAGAGGCCGATTCATGCAATGTTGTCTTGAATGCGGCCCAAGCACAGTCGACAGCCGAGGCGTCTCCCATGGGCAGGGATTCAAATTCTGGTAGCTTCTCCGATAGCGCATTTTGGAATTGCACCGCTGAGTCTGAGGTTGGAGCATTGTATTTAGCAAAACACAGCGCATCTGACTTTTGCTGATGTTGGCACCGCCAGAACTCAAACTTGATATCTGCTATCACGGGGTGGTGGTCTGATCGTGTCACGAAACCTCCATAGGATCTCGAGTCTACAACTTTCAGCACATTCGATCGCCGCATGATAATAAAGTCGATCTTGTTTCTTACTGGTTTCCCATTGGCGTGCAGTAGCCCGTCTGCAAACCAAGTTGAGCGGTTACACATGCAGTGCTTGAAGAAAGTGTTTGTAAGTACAAGATCATTTTCCTCACAGAATTCAATGAGACGCTCACCATTGTCATTACTCTGGAGATGCTTGGAGAAATGTCCAACCGGACTGTAGGTTCCGGGTTGTGAACTGCCAACTTTTGCGTTCAGGTCGCCAAGGATCCACACTTCGTCACGATGGTGCACCTTTGCCATGACTTGCTTCAGGCTGGAGTAGAAGGCGTCTGCCTCCGCTGGATGGGTCATCGAGCGTTGTAGGGTGGGAGCGTAGCAACAAACCACCACTATCGAGTTGCTGTCAGAACGCGGGCCTGCTCTCATGCGGACAACCACCAAGCGGTCGGAAATAAATTTGTACGATACAACATTTGTCCCGAGTCGCTTGCTTACAAGGACTGCGACTCCTGCGCGAGCAGACGGGTCACCAGAACGATACAGAGTATGGCCATTCTCTAGAACATCGACTCCACAGCCGCTTATCCATGTCTCCGTCACGCCAAGCACGTCAAGTCTGTATTGTTCAAAGTCGAGAATAATTGATGTGTTCTTGCTATTGCTTCGCAGCGAGCGCACGTTGAACGTCGCTACTCTGCATACCGGTCCTCGTCGTCGAAGGACTCTTTCCTGCGTCATTCATTCATTCATCCTGAAACAGTTGTCTTGGAACAGTTAGAACTCTCGAAGGGGATACAACGAGAGGTGGCAGGAGTTCAGCCTGCCATACCAAACCAGTGTAGTGACGGCCTAATTGTGATGGAGGTGTCCTGTTGCCTTTCTTGGACATTTGGTTCCTATGAGAGGGGATACCGGCCGGTGGTACTTTCAAAATGTACCCTCCAACTCTAAATGGCCCAAATTACCACATGTACTAAACAGATCTTCATCATGGATATGATGATTGTAATGGCTGTGCTGGCTGGTGACATAATGGCTGTGTTGATGACGTAATGGCTGTGTTGATGATGTAATGGCTGTGTTGATGATGTAATGGCTGTATTGATGATGTAATGGCTGTATTGATGATGATTGTAATGTGTGTGCTGATGCTGTGCTGCTTTTCTTGTTCGTTTAGGTCGTCACTAGAGGCAGTGTCGCTTGTGGAATAACCAATGGAGGGACGTTGGTTTGTCGTTCAACTCTTGTACTTCGTCTCTTGTTGCCGTTGCAGTTGCTGCGGTGTTCTAATTACGCTATGTTGACAGTTGTGCTGGGCACGTGTCATCTTTTCTCTTTGCTGTACATATCTATCGCTGATGCGCATGAGATATGACCTCCTATCGTTATGCATTATGTGGTCCTCAGATGACTTTCTTACATTCAACAGCTTGCATACGTTTTGCATTGTTTGAATTTGTTTCTTTGCTTGCTTTCTACTTCGAAGTATCTAGGCCAACATGCAACACACCCATCGAGTCCTCTTACAGCAGCATGTACATGGACATGTATGTGGCTAGTGTATGCTGGCTGTTCCCTACCTAGACAAGTATGTTCTGCATACATGCACCTCCTAACTCACACGTATGATGCACGTGTGCGTATATGTGTAAAGATACCAATTGTCATGATTTCTCATCCTGTTTTTACCATATTGCTCTACTGAAGACTGTTCTGTCAGCTGCCACCGATCTTTCTTGAGCCATTGTGTTTGCATTACACATGTCGGTGTTGCTGCTGCTTTGTCTTTTGACAAGTCCACTGTCCGTGCCGGCGTTGCTCTGTCTTGTGGAAAGTACACATTGTTTCCTATTCATAGAATGATACTGAATTTTCTCAACATACAATCGTGTGTAGTTCTCTGCAACGCGTATGGCATGCATACAGTGCGTGTATTTCGTGTTGATTGGGATTAACGTTACATCATGATTGTATACATGTACCATGCCCTGCTCATGCACTCTTGTTTATGCCCTTTCTGCACCAGGTACTGAAGTAGGATTTGTACTACACACAATAGGGCTTGAAAGTGATGACGTCAAAACGGCCAGGGAGTAGTAAGTTGACATCAGATTTCTATTTTTGGATCCACTAAGGTGTGACTTTGCTATTGCCTAAGTATGTGGGTGCATAGCAACCCACTCATGTCGCATGCAGGTGTGACTTTTATTTCGCCACCAGTTGTAACCCCGCCCCCAGTAGCCAAATCGGTCAGTTTCACTGGTTACATCACCTTGCTGAGAGTAAGACGGCTTGAAATGTGCTTGGATCCATACAAAAACTGGATCCAAGTGGATCCAATTTTTGAATTTTTGAAATTGTTGCTATGCTGTGACGTAGCACTTTCAAGCCCTATAGCACTCAGGGAGCCCTACACATACAATACGTATAACTGTCACATTGTGTGCATGGCTGCCGGCCTGGTAACGTTAGCACTGTCTTGCACTGCACCTTCACTACAACTAGACTGTCCTCGTCTTTCCGGTGACACAGTTGAATAGGGGAAACGGATTTCCTTTCTCTCAAACATCTCTGAAGCCGCTTGTACGGGCAAAAAGAATAACAGAAAATAATTAACATTCGTTCATGTATTGCATGGAAACCATAACAATACAATACTCTAATTATTTTATAGAATTGTGCACTTGCTGCCTGCTCAGCAGGTCAATGGCACTTGGGTTTAAATCACGGTCAAGCAGGTGTGCACGTACAGGCGGGGCATGTCCGCACGTGTGTGTTTGTGTGTGTACAGTTGAAAGAAAGCACTGCCATTGAAGCAATCTTTTAAGATTGTGCGTGTGTATCATGGTGTATGTGACAGCATTAGTTTGAAGTAGTATGCATGTAAATTTATAAGACAATAATAATTATGACATATGTAACAGTGTGTGCCTACACCGTAATATATTATTATAACAATGATGGACTGTTAGAACTCAAGCGTACATACCGGTGTATATTACTATCATATTATATGAGTGTAATGGTAAGAAGATTTGAGGACATGATGAGAATGCCCGTATACTGAAATTTCACAACTT